CCCGTAATCATTAACAATCATCAGCCACCACCCGCCGACTACGGTCAACTATCGGCAATTGCCCCTACTTGTCATCATCAACGAACTTTGTTGTATAACGATGTATCCTTAAATACGATGAAACGAAATGTCCTAAATACGGTGTTACAAAGTATCTTGATATTGAGCAACGAATAACACCCCATTGAAAATCCGACGATAATTTCCAGCGACAAATACTTTCAACTGCCGTACTCAGAATATGGTGGCTTTCTTCAAACACCTCAAGTGTTATGAATATTGTGCACGGACAAGTGTTTATCTTGGTGTAGAGTTGTAACACTTTCTTTCATTTATAGTGGAATACTTTGTTCGGGCTAGGCCCTATGATTTTTTTTTCCGGGGTTTTCCACGTAAAAATCTTAGTATTTTCTCCTACTTTTCAATCATCACTGTACGTGTTGGATTTTCGTACAATGCTAAGATCTTAAATTATCACTCTACTATCGTGAATCTTCTGACATGCAACACTTATATTCATGATGTTATTCTAAATTAAAGACAACGATGGGCAACATGATAACTCTTGTGATTCGAGGGGAAAGAAAAAAATAATTAAATTGAGTAAATTTGAGTTTTGTGATTCTTGTTTGATATAAAAAATCATGCTCAATCAAAAAATGAATTTAAAATCCTCCAAATTAACACATTCATTCAAAGTCCGATCTAACATGACTAAGCCACCGCCATAATGAATCCAAGTTCACTCGAAATGTTTTTAGACATGGTTGAGGGTTCAATCAAAGCCTATGGGTGCAAATAGAACCGAATTTCCCTAAAATGTATGGACACAAATTAATTGGAAATGGATCAATCTTCTTTCATGTGGGAGTGTGCCCACATGAAAGGGAATAAGGCAAGGAAGGCTTCCATGCAAGTAGCAGAGTTAGCAAGGCTCATGACATAATAATCTTTATGCTTTCGGCTCAATTTACATGTAAATGTCGTAGCTGGCCTATATAACAAAGAGATAAATATAGCTACCAAAAAGTGGCTTAACCTCGATTTATGTGCAAATATCATTGCTAACCAACGTGATAAAAAGATATATTCCCTAATCCTAATTGTCCTAAATGTGCTTCAAGACAGGTTCACCCCAATGGCAATTTCGATTCTTAGAAAATTATAATAGAAAGGAACTGTAATCCAAACCAAGCTCTTGATCATAAAGACAAGTGTTTCAAGCAATATTCCCTTACGATGGTCTATGCAACGCTCCACCCATCCCTTATGATGATCTATGCAACCCTCCACCCAAATGAAAAATCAAACAAGATTTTGACATCTCTTTGATGATGATCAAGGTTATGAAAATGCTATAACCACAAGTGTATACGTTCATAAAAACCTTAAATGATAAATAAACAAAGCCCTCAAATTGATAAAAAAAAATCTTCAACAACCAAAAAAAAGAAAAATCTCATAGCTCAAAACCCTTCAAGAACCAGAGTTGAAAAAAATAAAAGAAAAATCGATTAAGCAACAAGCCAAAAACATGGTCATGCGGGAGGGAACCCTAAAACTCTTAATGGGATGATTGAGCTAGAATTCCAAACTTTCTCCAATCTGACAAGCCTTGGCAATGCAAACTAAAAAATATTAGTAGTTCAAGAAGTTTATGATTAAACTAAAGATGTCAACTTAATAGTCTCAACTTCAATTATGAAATCCCTACTTTGATGATGAACCTAAAGTGTTCATTCCCAAAGTCAAGCTCTCCATCATAAATACACTTTGAGGACGTGTAAATACACTTTAAGGACGTGTATGATTATTATCGATAATAATTAGAGGAATCCCCATAATAGAAATATCCTATAATTTTATGATAATTTTTTGGGTAGTTCTCACAAAGATTTATAATTAAGACAATCAAAACCAAAGGCAGCTCCATTCACATTCAACAACCCTTTGCGAACATTAAAGAAAATAAAAAATATATAAAAAACAAGCAATAGTAGGCAACTTTGTGATGAGAGTAGTTATTCATCCTTTTTTTACATCAATTTGTCAAATATGACAAATCTAAATATGATAAATGCTCACAAAAAACAAATGTCACATATAATATAGCCATGTGAACATACTTAAAAATCTCATGTTAATAAAAAAACTTTTCCGTGCCTTCTAATTGGGTACTTGGACTACTTGCAACAACAAAATCATATTTCAGCTACAAACCAAGCCCAAGTATATTCCCAAATGGCCAATACTAGAGTTGTGAGTTACAAAACATATCATATACGACATTAAGTCCTATGTCAGCAAAGACCAATCTTGACATTGATCCATCCAAAAAGCTTTTCATCTCAAGCCAGCATGTCCCTACGATGATGCAACCTATGATTATCGATACAATTTTTTTTTATTAATTTGGGTTGATTATCTCTAGTTATTAAATAGATCATAATCCAAGAGAACATAAGACGATAAAACCATTGTCCTCATTCCCCATCATCAACTATGGGCCATTAGGAGCATATTCTTTCC